TGTGGGGATGGGTCCGGCAAGAAGCCGGCGCTGTGGGGTAAGGAGCCCGGCCGGGGGCCGTCCTGCTGCCGTCCTGTGAACCCGAAGATCAGATCCTAGCTTCTGGTCGTCGCTTCTTTTTTTTTGTAATTTCCTTTTAACTTCATGGATGAATATGCAGAAAGAGCTTGATCTGGGATTTTGGAGGTTCAGCACATAAAGCAGTTTTGCATTATTTTTCTCTTGGTGACTTGGAAAGTCGCGGACTGACTCAGAAGAGTGTAATGAAAATGGAATAGGACGTCTTAAAATGGAACATTTCTTTCTGATGTCCTAACTCTTAAATGTGTGGTGTGTAGGTGGATGGTATACTCAAAGCATGCAAACCCTGAGCCCTGATGGGATCCCTAGAGAATGCACTGGTTTCCACAAAGGTAAATATGGGAGAATCCAAGCTAGCCTAAAAACTGTTTTGCTTTATTCTCAAGAGATAGGTTTTATTTTTTTAATTTTAACTTTTGAACCTACTTCTCTTACTGGTAGACTGAATCACTAGCCAATATGTTTTCTTTATGTCTACACAACTCTTGAGGCTTTTAAAGAGTAATACAGAATGTTTGCAACATATTTTTCAATGCTGAGCCTTTGTGAAAACCAGTGGATTTTTTTCTTTTGTTGAGAGATGGATTGTTTGCTTTCACTTTGGCAGAGAAAATTCATAGCCAACAAATTCATTACTGACTGTGAAGTCCTATATTTGAATGAGAAGAAGATACTGGATATCTAAAAGTATACAAAATCAAATTTAGGGGCGAGTCTCAAACTGATGGTTGTGGTCTAGATAGAAGCAATGAGAAGGCTAATCTTTAGTTGTTCATTTCTTGCACCATCATCAAAAGTGACACCAGTAGTCCTGGTCAGACCTGGAGTTTCATTTCCGATATTAAACAGCACCGTACCCAAAGAAGAACCTACCAAGAAGTAAGTGACAAATAAAAATTTTTGTTAATGATACAGGTAGGGGTCAGATCTTTCAGTCGTGCTCAAATCAGTTATTTCCAGTGACATCACGCACTGTATGGTCTGACTTTCATCGGTCTGACTTCCATCTATAGTTATCTTTCAACACATTTATTTTGTTTTGAGTTCATAGATCATAAATGTTAATTTTCTGTAGCTGTTTAAATTGCTATGTGTTGTGTTAATCGGTGACATAACTCGAAAAAAGTAACTTCAAGGCAGTCTTGATATTTAGTCCTTTACCTTATCAGGCCAGTGTTTTCAATATGTTTTTGTTCTGTGTATTGAAGGTGACGACAGAGGTTGGAAAACTTCTTGGTGAAGAAAAAGTGGATGCAATCTTGTGTGTGGCAGGAGGATGGGCTGGAGGCAGTGCTAAAGCTAAATGTAAGCCTTTGGTACATGCATGCTAGTGAACACATGAATGAAATCTGAGAGGAATCCTTAAAAATCATGGTAATAAAGATATTTGAGATCATCATTCATCCTGAGTCCAGAAGAGGACATGAGTGTAGAAGTACAAAATAGCTCAGTCACAACGCTTCTTTAGTGCTTCTCTGAATTTTTGCTGTCTGTTAAATTTGCACAGCGCTTAGTATTCTCAGTAATACTTTTTGATGCACCAATTTGCATTGGAAAAATCTTGATGCACTTTATGAAGGAGTTCAGCATTATTATCTATGAACTAACTTTTGCCGAGGTGTCAGGCAAGTTACATACAACAGTGGCTGGGTAGAAACATCGATGTTGTTTTCTAATTCATCGCTTTAATCATAAAACTGCAGTTGCCTCCTGCAGTTCTCTGAGCTATTACTGTCCAATACAGTATTGGAAGGAGCTGTCTAGGGACCTGAGATCATGCTACAGAAAAAAGCCTTCAGTTTAAAAAAAGCTTTTAAATGTGATGAACAGACTGAAATTTTATACTTTACCCACTAGTGTAGAGATATAAGAAAGAAAAAAAGCATTGTTTTCTGTCTGGAGTAAATCTGATTAAATGTGTCCTTTTCTTCCTCCCTTCCAGTACGGACATTACAGGCAAAGATTCCTTTTTTAAAGAGAGACAATATGGAAAGGCATACACTCTTACACCACAGTTGCATTATATTAGATTGTTATTAGTGTGCACTGTATTTTAAATGAAGTGATTTATCATAACCATAACTTAGAGTGATTTATTGGTAGGGTGTCAGGATATCTTGGGATGGGTGGTTGGCTTACGTCACAGAGTTACTTATGCTTATTCCATATTGTGTTACGGAAACGGTTCTTTCTGAATACTAAAATCTTTGACATGGCCAGTTACTGTTTTTCTTCTTTTACCATGCAGATATTGATAATAAAAAACAATGATGAGAGTTCAGATTTTGCTTTCATTTGAAGTTATTGGTGTACCTCTCCCGGTAGGCTGCCTTACCAGAGGTTGCGCTCCAGTATGTAGGGGCACTGGAATGCACACTTAGCACAGTGCAGATGCATGCATCTTCAATATTCCATACCAGCGTGCTACTGTCAGACAATCAGATTTTCTTGGTTTATGAAGTAATCTGGTGATAAGAAATATTTTTTGTTCAACTCCTTTATCTCTTGGAGTCTTCTATCTGCATACTAATGGAGCGTAGCTCTTTTGCAGCCAGTGAGGAAGTTGTGGAAAGAGAGGCTAACGTGAGATCCTTGACATAGGTTGAAGCAACCCCTACAGGAGTTTCAAGAACTTGCAAATCTTTGAACCATTAATGGAGAGCTAATGGAACTATCTTGTGTGTGTTTATTTTTTTTATTTCTGGTAGTGAGAAAGCAGATAATTGCTTAGAATATATGCTGTAGAGCTGGGACTCAGACCCCAAAGAGAAGGGAGATACAAAAGACATAAATTGATATTTTACCCAATGTGGAAGTACAAAGTGGTAGAAAGCATGTTTTCATAGTGCTGTTGCACTCTGTGTGACAGTAAGGAAATTAGAGTGAGAAGTTTTCTATCTTTTAGTTAATTTCACTAGTTCTTTTCCTAATCAGCTTTATACAAAAACTGTGATCTGATGTGGAAGCAGAGCATTTGGACATCCACTATTTCCAGCCACCTAGCCACAAAACATCTGAAAGAAGGCGGCCTCTTGACTTTGACAGGAGCTCAAGCTGCTTTGTCTGGAACTCCAGGTAAAATGCAATGCATGATAACTGTTGGGTCATCAAGAGTTACAGCTATCTGTTAGTCTGAGCATTCTTGTTTCTGAAGCAACAGTTTCACTCCCCAATTTCTTGGCATCTAGTACAAATGGAAAATTGCTGCTGAAACACTTAAGGAAAGAACAATTTTACAGGTAGCAATACTGAATCTCTTGAAGCTGGAGTGCAAACAGATAGAATCAGTATTTAAGTAAAATTTGACATGCATTGGTGAAATGTACTTGGCTAATATATGATACAGTAAAAAATGTTTGGAAAATAATGGAGAATAGAAGCACACAGCAAGCTGTAATTACAGTGCTTAAATAAAGTTAAATCTCCTATTTGTGTTCTGAAAGGCAGAGTCCTTAATTGCCCGGTTTTTCCATTGGTGATGACTCAGCTGAATCTCTTAAACGTGCTTGTCCTGTTCATGTTCTGATTCCAGTCTACCTTTGCTTCAGACATAGATAAGCTTGTTGACCTTCGGCTTTGTCCTCCACTAGCTATTTAATACGAACTTTATTGAGTTTTTTCATCTCGCTCCTCGCCGTGTTGGTCTGCATGGAGGAAGAAATCTGGGAGCAATTTAAAATTAAAAAAAAAAAAAAGGCACTGACACACAAGCGCATAGGCAGGGAGAGGAAAGTTTTTGAGACAAAGACTCTTATTTCCCAATCTTTTGTTAGTGTGACTTCAACGATATTTTGATGAGGCATAGATGCTAAAATTTTAAAACGTTATAAAATTTGAGTATTTCTGAAAGCTGTGTCTAAACCTGTTCAGGAAGAATATTCTGTATTTTCTAGTTAATGATTTATCTTCTATGATTACAGCTGCATCTGGCATAATCCAAAGATAAAGGGCTTATTTTATGAGAATAAGCAAATGAATAATTTACTGTGTACTACTGACTGACCGTACTCAAATGAAAAAATGTGAACTCTGGCAAACTTTCATGTTGTTTTTTGTTTGGGTGGTTTTGGGAGGTAGGGACCACAACACAGGAATCAAAGTGATTTGCTTTCATGTTTTGAACTAGCTGGTTTCAACGAGTCTGAGTTTTTCTGAAAAACACAGCAGTGCTTTGGGCAAACACATGCAACTTATTAACATCAGGAGGAATTGGGAAAGAATTGTTACTCAACTTTTGCAAATATGACTTGTTAGGCTTGTTACTACCAGCCATTATGGAAGGAACCATTTTTTCTTTTTTCTGTTAGTGTGATTTTTTCTTTTCCTATGTGAAAATGTGACTCACATAATGCAAATTGAAGAATACTGAGAATTATATAAACAGTTACAGAAGCAGTCTGACAGTGATGGCTAAGAAATGTAGAAGCATGAAAAGGTTTAGGAAGACTTGGAATGTTGGGTTTAGACGAGACAAGAGGGGAATACGATAGAGATGCAAGTATTTTTATGGTAACAATAAAATAAGTTAGCTACTGCTGCCCATGATTCTTTCTAATAAAAATGGATTTTATACAGTATGTCTAATTGAATATAATGGAAACACTTCTACGATGCAAAATTAGCTTTGTAACTTGGATACAAAATACTTCATTGGGAACATTGGAAAGGGGTTGTGTAGTTACATAGATGGGTAGAAAGGCATCTAGTTGTAGTAGACAAAATACACCTATTTTTTCTTACAAGCTTAATCTGTGTCTAGACTGCTTGGCAGATACGTACCATGAGACAGCTCAGACCTATGGCACCCTGATTGTCCAGATCTTGTGCCTGACCAGTGTGCCTTATGCTCTCACTCCTGTTGCTCTTACACTGCTAAATGCTGTCTGCCTAGAAAGCAACAGTGTTTAGGAAGAAGTTTGTTTTACCTGCAGGTTATCTAGTAAATATCTGTGAGGGGTTTTCTTGTAGTTTTCTCCAAAGGGCCCGTCAGACTTGGGATGCTGACCAAGTGAATTACAGTTCTGGAGAGAAGTGAGCTGTATCTGTTTGGGTCCAAACCTGCAAGTACCTTAGTCATATGATTAAAGTTAATGGATGATTGCCTTGTTAATGTCTATAAGCATCTTCACACTTACTCTATTAGATTTGTAAGGTTAGCCTTGTAGGTCCCATCCTTCAGGGTACATTTGGCTACATTAACTAAATTTACTTAACTCGGTAAGCTGCATATTTCTGTAGTTCTGAGTAAACTGCGTTCTGTGATAGTTCCTGGATGTCTAGTAAGAGCTTTTTTTCTTTTTTCTTTTAATATGTATGTTTTGGTATGTTTTAAAAGTCTGATTCTCTTCTGGCTGTGGTAAGTGGTCTTAAACTTATTATTCATCAAACAATCTGAGTTTCTATTATACTACTGATGATACTGAGAGCTGTTTTGATTGTGCTCTAATTTGCCTGGTTTTAATTTTTAGGGATGATTGGCTATGGCATGGCCAAAGGAGCAGTGCATCAGCTTTGTCAGAGTTTAGCTGGTGCCAGTAGTGGCTTGCCATCTGGTTCTGCTGCTGTTGCCATTTTACCGTAAGTGGTTGCATAGTTGCCTCTGCCTGCGTTGTTTTATTTAATTACTGCTGTAACCTAGAGTCACATGGATACGCTTGTGATGTCTTGTTCACAGTACAGAACCGTACTTACGATTTCACAGAGAAAGGAGGCATCTTGAATGTATGAACAAAATGATAGGCAAGTCACCCTAAAAATGATTAAATTCTTTTCCTTTCCTTTGCAAAAGATTAGTGGATGTTAGGATTAAAATTTGATTAACTTTTAACCAGTTTAACTGTAGCCATGCATTAATGTGTGATTATTTTTTTTTTTCCCCAGTATAGACAGAACTTTGAAAATGAGATGAGCTATTCGGCACCGTTTTAGACTTAGCTGTGTGATAATAGTAAAGCAAAGGATTACTTGACAAGTTTTGATTTGGTTAAAGATGCTTCTTCATAAGGTGCTGCATATCTATGCTTGATCAGTAAAATCAGGTCACTTTGAGGATCTGTGAAAAGAAAATGTTTAGCTTGTATTTGCTGTCACAGTTTCTTTTTGATGAGGAAAGCTAGGGAAAAGTGGATGGCCTAGTAGGTCTTTACTATGTCTAAATTTATCAATTCTGCTGCAAAAATTAAAAGTATTTTTCTTGCCAGGTCCATATCTAGTTCAGGACGTAAAACTTAAGACTAAAGAGTTCTGTAGAGGGATTTGGAACACTACCTGAATTCTCCCTGCTTTGTTTTCCTCATATACACGCTCTTATGCGTGCTTCTTCAGGTCAGAGAACGACAGCATTAAAAGTGTTTGGATAATTGACACCACCTTCTACAGAGCTTTACAGACACCAAGATCACTGGGCTTTTGGGCATTCTGCAGTGGCATAGTTCTCATGTAAAACTCTGTTCTTGAGTGAACTTTTGAGAGAGTAATTATACCTTGGATTGTCAACAGCATCTCAGTGATGGAGTTGTGAAAAGTTCACCCCTTAGTATCATTGTATGTAGCGTAGATATGTATCATCGAAGTCAAAATTTCCTATGCTTGTGCACTTAATCTCTGCATTTACAGCTGGCGTGAGGCTGTTTGAAAGCATGGGTGTAGCGCGTATGTGCTATGCAGTATATGTGAACAAGTGTATTACTGCCATTCCTTGTCTCCATCAGAGAGACTGGAAGGGAGCTGTGGGCTAAGTGATTGCCCTAGTGGGCTGGATGTCACCAGCGAGCCAGGAAGGTGAGGGGTTATAGGTTGGAGCCTTTGATATACATTGAAACTGATGGCTATATGCTGTTAACACATGTAGAGGGTGCAAGGGAAGTCCATACCACGTGGTAAAAAAGTCAAGCATATGTTACAGCAATGTTCATTGCTGTAATATAGCAGGTGGCGCTCATCAGAAGCATGATGTATAAATAAAAGGATTATCTTCTTTAATCACAGGGTTACCTTAGATACACCAGCAAACAGGAAATCCATGCCTGATGCAGATTTCAGCTCCTGGACACCCTTAGAGTTTATTGCTGAGTGAGTATCTGTGTGATAACTAAGCAATTCCTCACTGTCCCTCTTGCTGCTGCATCTTATTGCATGTTCTTTCTAAATAGCTGACTCGGATTTGGGTGATTTTTTTCCTCCCTCATCCACTCATTGTGTACGTTTCTAAATCACATTGGGTTTAGTGCACAGGCTTCTTAACTGGAGAAAATTAGCCCAACTCCGTCAACTTCAGGATCTCTATGCCAGTTTTTCTGACAAGAGAGATAGTCTTAAGCAGTTGGAAGCCAGAGAATCTCATAAAGCCTGTAGACAAATTAAATTGCAGACAGCAGATGCAGGAGACAGTAGTCTGGCTTAAAGGTAAACTACAAATAGGCATGTAAACTTTGGTGGGATTTTTTTTCTTTTAAACACTCTTTACTGCCCAGTCTATGGTGTGTTAGCTCATTTCTCTCAGCTGGCAAAATTCCTGTTCCTGTTTAGAAAAATCTAGTCAAGGTTTTTTTGTTTTCCGTCACCCGCAAAGGCTTGTCCTGAATGATGTTGCAAAATGCTGGAACTTCTACGGTAGCTTATGTAACAGCAGGCTGAGATGACAGGGCTTTCTGTTTCCCATTCCTCTCGGTTAGAGAAGGTGTAGCGTAAGTACTGCTTTCTGCGGTGTGATGGGGAATAGCAAAGATTCTGCTGAGGGTGAGCTGGCAAAAGGAGGAAAATAAGGACACAACAGTCTTGCTTCTTTGAGGAAAAACAAAGATGAATCTATGTTCATACATTGTAAAGGGCTTTACTCTTACACATTTTTAAAGTCTTTTGAACTGACACTGAAACTGCATTTATCTATTGCTAATTGTTCAGAGAGTAATTTAGTTCTGATTTCATGAGATTTCCTTTTTTTGTGATTTTTTTTTTTTTTAAGTTGGACGTCAGAGTGGGAAATGGTTTTTGTTGCAAGAAGCCTGTGCAGATGTTTGATGTGGCTCTTTTAAAAGGGCCCCATCAATTGAATTTAGTTGGCCTAAAAATGTTCAAAAAAAGATCTTTAATTTATTGTGCTCCAGAGGCTGCTTAGCCAGATGTTATGGTTTTACAAATTTATTTTTTAATTTTAACTTTTAAGTATTTTTTCCTTATGGGAGAATTAGGTTGATTGGTTTGCTTTGTTTCTTGGGTTCTAATTCTCTAAATTTTAAATCCAGCTTTGAAAATTGAAACTCTCACTGACTGTGGAAGAAAAACATCCAGTGTTGTTAAGTGTTGGTAACATCTGCATCTTGGGAAGGAGGCAGGAAATCTTTTCCTATACAGCACTTGAATTTTGTGCCCTGGAAGCCGTTGTGTCAGATAGCAGGACATTCCAACATGGCAGTTGCTATGTCTGCAGTACTGGAAGGGTTGATGGACCAGAAAAATAAACTGCACTTTCAGTATTATATTTTGAGTAAGGAGTTGTATTACATTTTGATAAGGAGTGTTCTGGTGTGCTAGCTAGAATGAGTGCATCTTACTCGGCGCTGTTTTGGATGTCTTAAGGCTTTCTGTGCTTCTGCCAAGACCACTTTCGCAGTTAAATATCTAAGTGTTATAATGACCTGTTGGCAGTGTAATGGCTTTAGCAACTCTATTTTAGCCATAAATTCATGTTTCTGATATATGCTATAAAAGCAACCTAGGTAGATTCTCCTTCCCCTTTCAAAATTTTTTTAACTTTGAAAAAAACTTGCCACTTTGGCTTGCCAGTTTGACATTTTAAGCTCCTGGCCTTTTCCGCTGAAATGTTCTGAAAATCCTGTGTGTGCGCTGTAAAGCCCTATGGATTTCTCTGGGCCTCTGTCCAGCTCTGAGGTCTGAATCCAGCGATCGCATCACTGGTTTACAATATATATAGAAATTGCTAGAGAGGGCATTAGGAAAAGAAGGAAAAGTAATAGGCTTTACTTTGTGCTTCCTGTCAGTATACCTGATAATAGTATTTTCTTCCTCCTCCTCACCCTGTTTTATCCATTTATTTTAAAACAGAACCTTTTTTGACTGGATAACAGGAAAGAATCGACCAAACTCGGGGAGTCTAATCCAGGTGGTAACTACAGGAGGGAAGACTGAACTAGTTGCAGCACATCTTTGATGTCAGTCACTTAAGACGGTGGAACTTCAGCAAAGAAGGAGGTCTGGAAAATCTGTCTGCCAGTATAAATTGGATGGTCTTCTGTATCCAGTGATTGTAGTTATCTCATTAATGGAACCAGATTTCAAGTAATATTTCTGTGCTGTCAGTTGTGAGCTCTCAGCATTTGTTTACCAACAAGTATCAAGTATTTGTCTCTGAATTAAAGTTTCAGGCTTTAAAGTCTGTAGATACCCTAATTCTGAGCATTGTATGTCGACTTACCTGTTTTCTCTGAAATGGGGATTGTGCTTAATTATGTCATGTAATCACATATATAATGGTTGGATTTTTTTCTCAGTGAGTGCTTCTGGCAGCTTACTGTGAATCTTTCAGTAGTCTGTCTGAGAATGTAACCCCACCCTGCATATGATGTTGGCTGTAATTATAGGAAGTGTTACAGTCATATATAATGTCCTAGTCTTGCAACATTTTTCTTGTGAATGTTCCACTTGAGCTAATGGAACTGTATAGAAATTACTCACTTGAGAAGGAATTCCTAATTTGCCTTAAAGTTTATAAGCTGCTATCACGCCTACAGTTGTAGGATAAAACAGTCGTTCTGCCAAATGATTAGTATGTCTTTGTGTTAGCCATGATGGTTCTTTGCTTTTTGAAAAAGCAGAGTGCTGTAAAGAAGTATGAGAAAAAGCACACACACACTTCTATTCGAATATGGAACTTTTTGTGCTGAATAAATGTATATTGTTTTAGGTACTGGCCTGTTTCCATCACTGTAATCTAAGTATTTGGATAATATTTTAATCAATTTAACTGAACTTGCAATTCAGTTATGGCAAAGGAATTCATTTTTTACTTATTTCCTTCTGATCATGGTGTGTAAAATACATTTCTGTGGTAGAGGTGCAGAAGAGCTACCGGCCATGCCTAGAGGTAGACCTTCAGCTGGAGCAAATGGTTTCTTCAATCCAGCTACATTACGTGGAAATCCAGTTTGATTGCAGAGTGAAAGTCTTGCCTATTCTGAGCATAGGCTTACATGGAGTCAGTACTGTCAGGTTTTTGGAACATCTTGAAAACAATGGAACATGCAAAGTTCCATGCACTTTTTTTTTTAATTGACTTCAGGGTTTTGTTGGGGAAGGACTTAGCGCCATGGGTCAGGAAACCTTTCCCCTCTTCCCACTAGGAAAAGCTCACGTGTGCCCATGTCACTTTTAATGTGGTCAGATGACTGCGTGATTGCCTTTTTTTGTATGACTGTCCCTTTACTCGTTTTGTTGTGCTGGATGCAAAGGGGTAGAGGGGAATTTTTATGTCCTGTCAAACCCGTCAAGAACTGTCAATTCATGAAGCTGCTTTCGATTTTAGATGGAAGACTTGCAGCCATACTGTTTGCCCAGCAATTTCTACAGGTTGAGAGCACAGACAAAGACTGCAAGGCACTGATAAGGAATGAAACACTAAGGTGTTAGTTGTCTGGAAAAGGGAAGAGCTATTGTACTACGAGCTGACATGATTTGAAGGCTTCCCTTTGCCAAACTAGCTGAATTTCCAAGTTGCTTTCAAGTCGCTGTGTTGTGTCTTTTTGCAAACATCTATTGAATTGTGTCTCGGAAGCTCCCTCAAGAGCAGATCAGACTCTTGAATGGTGAAGGGAGCACAGCTGGGATTCCAGATGTGCATTTCTACAGCTGTATAAAAGCACAGGGCCAAGGACCTAGCAGGCTCTATGGCTCATGGATATTTTTACAGAAGACAACACAGCAAACGGGACTAAGATGAGCAGAGAATCTTTTATTTGCTAAGGGCTATAGGGGCTTTTCTGTCATCTTTTATAGATTATGTGCACATATCTGGACCTTGATGTTATTATTAATAACCTGGTGAAAAGGCAAATGGCTGGTTATTGGTCATGTGGAATTAAGTCGAAGGTCGTGGCTAACCAACCGTGAGATTATCCAGGAGGAAGGAGGGAAACCAGGTTTAAATTTTGGTAGAGAACAAAAGGTCGGAAAAAGACCATGAGGTGCGATCCATGCATTTCAGAAGCTAGACTGATTCCTCCTTCGCTAGAAAGACCTCATGGTCCTGGTAGGGAAACCTGAGGCAAATCTGTGGTTCTGACCTAGATGCTTCAGGTATGCTCTGCCAGCGTCAGCTGCAGATAGGGCCTTGAAAACAGGGCAGGTGTCTACGCTATGCTAAAGAGAGGGTCACTAAGCTTGTGGAGACCTAACTTGGCTAGTTGTCTCCCTCCATGTCATGTTGCATGAACGCACCAGCGCAGGTCTAGAAGCGGAATGGCTGTGTTAGGACAGTGTTGAACATGAAGCAGTACCACCAGTCACTCTGTGCTGCTGTACGTGTGCCGGTTCAACGCCTCACAGGGGTCTGCTGTGCATATCCTGACTGCTGCTCTCACCCAGCTAATTAAATGAAAGGCTGTGTTTACTGTAAGACAGAGTAGCTGTATAAACGCATGAGATGGAAGAGATCCATGTTGAATGGAGTGTGAACGTAGTAACAGGAACATTGTCCTCAACTGAGCTTTCCTTCTTCCACTCTTGCTTGAAGGGGGAAGAATGGTAGAAAACATGAGCAATTTCTCCATTTCATAAAAGGAGTCTACCCCAGCATCCTAATTCAACTTGTACTGGTGTCTGCTGGATAAGAAGTGGTAATATAGCTATTGGAAAAAATATGTTGACTGTAGCAATGTAAGAGTGGTGAAATACGCTGACTGTGAAACAGTGAATAGCGTTAAAACATAATTGTGAATGGAAGACTGTTGACTGGATTATTAACTTTTATCAGTTGCAGGTATGAGTGGAAAGATATGAAAATGGCATTATTGAAGCTTGAGAGTGAGAATGAAGGTGTTGGCAAGTGTTGTCAAGTTTGCTGCTAGAGGTGAGAGATTTAACCTGGGGAGTTTGATGGAGAAGAGGCTTTATGTGACCAGTTTCATCCTGTGTCTCTACAAACTTTATTCCAGTTAAGTAATTGTCTAGGGAGAAAAGCCACCCTGACAAAGATATGAAAATGGCATTATTGAAGCTTGAGAGTGAGAATGAAGGTGTTGGCAAGTGTTGTCAAGTTTGCTGCTAGAGGTGAGAGATTTAACCTGGGGAGTTTGATGGAGAAGAGGCTTTATGTGACCAGTTTCATCCTGTGTCTCTACAAACTTTATTCCAGTTAAGTAATTGTCTAGGGAGAAAAGCCACCCTGAC